CGGATGGGGGGGGGCGGAGACCGCGCGCTAGCCCTCCCGCGGGGGGGTCAGATGTTTGAAACCCCCTATAAAAAAAAAAAAAAAAAAGAATAAATGTGGGCCGTGTATAATGGCTCAAGCCTATCATCCCAGCTACTTAAGAGGGTGAGGCAGGAGAATCACTTGAACCTGGGAGGCAGAGGTTCTGGTGAGCCCAGATGACACCACTACACTCCAGCCTGGGCAACAGGAGCGAAACTCTGTCTCAGAAAAAGAACAACAACAACAACAAAATACAATTCTCGGCCGGACGCAGTGGCTCACGCCTGTAATCCATGCACTTTGGAGGCCAAGGTGGGTGGATCACCTGAGATCGGGAGTTCAAGACCAGCCTGACCAACATGATGAAACCCCATCTTTTTAAAAATAATAATAATAATAATACAATTCTTGAGGTCAAATAAAACAGGGAAAAGCCTCAGAGGTGATCAGAATGAAAGCATCTTAGGTTTATTGCTCTCCTTGCTCCTTGTCCCTGAATTATGGTAGGCATTCTAAATATTTCCACAATGACTGAGCCATGGCCCATGGGTGCCACCTTTGTCTCTGGCACACAGGAAACATTTACAAATAAATGAGGACTGGCCAGGCACAATGGCTCATGCCTGTAATCCCAGCACTTTGGGAGGCTGAGGTAGGTGGGTCACTTGAGGTCAGAAGTTCGAAACAGGCCTGCCCAACATGGTGAAACCCTGTCTCTACCAAAAAGACAAAAATTAGCTGGGCATGGTGGCAGGCGCCTATAATCCCAGCTACTCAGGAGGCTGAGGCAAATGGCTTGAACCCAAGAAGCAGAGGTTGCAGTGAACCAAGTTTGCGCCACTGCATTCCAGCCTGGGTGACAGTGAGACTCCATCTTAGAAAAAAAAAAGAAGGCCGGGCGCGGTGGCTCAAGCCTGTAATCCCAGCACTTTGGGAGGCCGAGGCGGGTGGATCACGAGGTCAAGAGATCGAGACCATCCTGGTCAACATGGTGAAACCCCGTCTCTACTAAAAATACAAAAAATTAGCTGGGCATGGTGGTGCGTGCCTGTAGTCCCAGCTGCTCAGGAGGCTGAGGCAGGAGAATTGCCTGAACCCAGGAGGCGGAGGTTGCGGTGAGCCGAGATCGCGCCATTGCACTCCAGCCTGGGTAACATGAGTGAAACTCCGTCTCAAAACAAACAAAAAAAAAAAGAAAAAAAAGAAAAAAAAAAGAAAAGAAATGAGGATAAAGATGATGATGAACAGATAATAAAACGAAGGAGAGAGAGGTGATAGTGGGTTCCAGGAGGGGAAAGATCATGAAGGGTGTGTCCTGGCTCCAGTGAGTGGGAGGATGCCTGGAATTGACTTCCCTCCTGTTTCTCTATATGTGCTGTCTAACCTGCCAGA